TGCGCTCACTGCGGGAGGCCGTGCGTCACGTGGGCGGCGGCCTAGCCCGGGCCTCGTGGGCGGGAAAGGCGGGTGCGGCCTCCCGGTCGCTTGCCGCTGGTTAGCGGACACCGCCCGACCTTCGTCCCCGCGCCCTGTCTCCACACACACGCTGGACCTCGCGGGCGGAGGATCGCTGGGGGCTCGTGTCCGGCGTCCACACAATGAATGGAGTGAATGAATGAGGGCGCGCGTGCCCGCGACCCGGCTTGCGTCAGCTTGCTGAGGCGGCCACGCGTGCGAGGGCTGGACTCGGCCTGGCTATACACGCGTGGGGTCTTGTATGCCCTAGCTGTGGCACAGACTCTGAGGATGGCGCGGGATGCAGTTGGGGGCGTCCATACGTACTGTACCCTGGGACCACTCTTCTATTACATGGCCGAGGTGGATAATCCATTTCTCATATAAGCTATTCCCTCCTGGTTCCCTCCTGAGCACCAAGTGACCAGGGGGAGGGATCCTCATAGGCCTGGGAAAACAACAGTTAGATTGGGCCTGCTGGGACCCAAGTTCCACTCCCCAAAGCACCAGCAAACACAGATGCTGCTGGGAACATGGAAAGTATATCTCTGATGACCATAGCTTGTGGCCCTGCAGTTACTTTGTACTTTGCGATTTAAAAGGAGCCAGCACAGGCCTTAGGAAGATTGCAGGTGAAAGGGTAAAATAAATAGATCTCACCCGTTTCATTATGGTTAGGTAGAACCCTGAAGGATAATGTTTGGGATAGAAGAAGGGAAAGTGGTTGTGTGTAGTACAAAAAAAAATATGTTACATAAGCTTAACATGGTGTGTATGTAATGGGATGTTAGTTACATATTTATATAAATACAAAATTACTGTATTCTTGGGTATGTGAATCTTAAATTGACTACACGGAGCTATGTCATTAGCTGTTTCAATAGAAGGTAGAAAAGGATGTGATCAGCTGAGCAGTGGTGGCTCACGCCTTCCATCACAGCATCGGAGGCAGAGGCAGACTTGATCTACAGAGCGAATTCTAGGACAACCAAGGCACAGAGAAACCCTGTGTCAAAAAACCAAACCAAAAAAAAAAAAAAAAAAAAAGGAATGTGATCAAATTGAGTGTTGAGGAAGAAACTATCAACCTACCTAATTGCAGTTCTTGCTTTAAGTTGATAAAAAGCAGCAGCGTGTTCAGGGTAGTGAGATCTCCAGTGATCCTCTCCCCTGGAGGACTCACCAGGAAGTTTCCTAGCATCCAGCCTCCTTGATAATGGCATTATCAAGTGAGCTGGGTTGTGTTTCTACCTGACCCAAGCTTAGAATTTAAAGTTTAAGAGGTTAAGGGCACTGACTGTTCTTCCAGAGGTCCTGAGTTCAATTCCCAGTAACCACATCATGGCTCACAACCATCTGTAATGAGATTCAGCACTCTCTTCTGGCCTGCAGGCATTCATGCAGACAGAACACTGTATACATAATAAATAGATAGATAGATAGATAGATAGATAGATAGATAGATAGATAGATA